TGCGTAGATTATGAACTTTGGTGCACTCTATTCTCATGTGTTGAAACCAGATTAGACGAAAAAATCAATGAATTTGGGGATTACATAATTGGTTGGCTGGGGCAAAGGAAACGATTTTATCGATTTGAAAGGGAGCTTCAATGTTTGTTCTTAATCTTGAATTCGACCTGATCGCGAGACAAGGATCCAGAGTAATTAAGCGTGAGTTATTTTAAAGCATTAACAATACAATACTAAAACTCTCTGTCATTATTGCACTTAATTCCTATGCAAAAGCCAAGAGCATGCACAAGGTGACGAATTATTGAATTTGATAGGATCGATTCCAGCCAATGGCAATTTGAAGCCTTCCAATTTCAAACTGTCTGCCAACTATTTTGCGTTCCTTAAAGACACATATAAGCATGTGTGTCGCTGTCACCGATGACGACAAAAAACTCGTTGTCACCGAATTTGCCGCCTCGGTTTTTCGCATAGTTGTAGAAAACGAAGAAGCAAACAGGCGAGAAATGGCGCAAGAGGCGCCGTCTGAGAGGACAAAAAAGATGGCGTCAAAAATTTTCCGCCAGAATTTTTCTCTGTCACTGCTCATGTGAACAAGTTCTCGCGCGAAAACCTTCTACGTTTAAAAGCACAACACAAACACCAAAACACATCTGCATTTCTCATTTTCGTTTGCATCGACTGAAATTTGACCCCCTCACCAATGCCACCACCTTAGCTTTGTGAATTGAATAATACGAGGTACACAGGATGCTGAAAGATTAGGCAGCAAAGACTATAATATGGGTATAACTGTGAATCAAATCAATTCTTCTACTTGGCCAATCGCCTTAATGTAAGTCGAATTCAATCTTCCCATTGGCTAGTCACCTCGATGCTTGACGAATCAATTGCTCCAATTTCCATCGGAGTTGAACCTCAATGTTGTAACTGCTCGACTTAGAAATGACAATTTTGATCCTTTTTTCTGGCAATAATCTGGAACATCCAGATTGATTTGACAAGGAAGAACTTGGAAAATTTTGCTGGGAAGTTCCACATTATCCGAGTCATTCACCAGACCCTCATATTACAAACCACAATCTCCATCTAATTTGTTGAGACCATAACATTTGTCCTTGCAGTCGAGTTGACCTTGATTTGACCAATTGAATATCATCCAGACTCAAAGGTCACCAACTAAATGAAGAAATCGGTCACCAGAAAATATACAGATGAGGTGGAAGATGATAACCCAGATCAAATTTTAGATAAGATCAGATGAAAACCAGTCTACTTTGTTTTGGCTTGTAATTGAGTTGCCTCATGCTTGCGAATTCGCATGGAAGGAAGTCGTGTGACCAAGGAACGATATCTAATTGACGACAATATCACTATTACGTCGAGCGCTTAACTACATGCGAAAGGCTCTAGAGCCCACGCAAGACATTCCGCAAATATCCTGGACATTTTCAACGACGTGCGTACACTCACAAACAAATCTGCTGCAAGACATTGACGATGATGCGACAGAGGTATAGCAGCGAATTCATCTAAAGTTAGCGGTGAATAGGGTAAAGTGCCGTGTCAACCCACCTCCCCTCCTATGCGTGCCGATATGGGGGGAGGGGGCTTGTGAAGTAAGTCGTACAAAACCAACGGGTTAATGTTTTATAAGAAGGAGTCAAGTCTAAAGGGGCTTTGTACACTGTTAATTAAATTTCGCATAACGTGATTGGTCCGTTGTGAGGTGAGTGAATCTCCCCTTTAGAAGTGAATATGACTAACATGTACCATATATAAAATACGACCGATATGCCGCCATCATAGACCTCGGATCTGGCCATCGCGACTTCTTTTGATGTAGGAAGCTTTCGTTCTGAAATAAGTCCGTCGTGGGTCAACCAATGGCACACCATCGCCATGACAACGCGCTGGGGGTGTGGATTCAATAAAATGTGTCACGGTGAAAGAGGAATGCCACACATTTAATAACATATTCCGTGAATAAGTTGGTGTCTGAGAAGGTTTCGGAACTCTGTTGAAAGTCATAGTTGTTCAAATTAGACTGTCGAATATCTGGCATCCGAAAAGTAGGCTCAAAAAAGCTGTCCTGCATTTAGTAGGTGCAAAAAGATCACCACACTGCTTGAGAACGGCGATTCGGAGCTTGGTGACAGCTAAGATGACATTTGAACCCGTTTGAAAGTGGAGAACGCCGGTCACGAATCTAGGTCCATTTGGTTAATAAGCTGGACTCACTCCGATGAAGCAGAGTAGAGCTGGGCAGGTCACTGCTCCAGTTAAAAAACTCTTGTCAACTCCTCCAATAACAATAGTGGCCATAGAAATAGGATATTCTGGGTTATCCTATTACTGTGCATCCCACGGAATTAAGAAATGAATAACTTTGCAGGGTCTTTGTTTTTGTGACACGAAATAAAGCATCCAAAGCCACAATAGACAAAAAAATGGCTGAAAAAATTTAAGTGGAGCTGTGGCTGCATTGGGCAATCAAAAAGATTTTCGCAGTATCAGGAGCTATTTATTGATAAGTGGGTGCAAATTCCTCTTCTCAGCCAATAGCAATTTGGATTAGTCAGCTGTCTGATTATCGATTAGTTTGCCAAATTAAACAGTGCTCATTGTGAGGGTTGGTTAATGTTATTAATTATTTGAACAAGTTTATTTTCTCAAATCTGTTAGCAAATCTAATTTCGTGATTTGTGGACTCCCAAATTTGACCAAGAATAAGTAAAGTTTTCTAATTTTATAGATTTCGAGGAATCGTTGCCCCTTTTACTGTTAGCAACGATAAAATTTCTTCTACGCAAACGTGATGAACTTGCCAGAATAATTTCTAGGGAATCACCCAGTACGAAGATCTTAACCTGTTTGAAAACTTAACCAATCATTTCTCAGGACTTTTGGACCAATCCCTGAGTCTAGTTTCTTTGTTTACAACAGTACACATGTTGCCTAATCTGGGTGCACAAACGGCACCGCGGCTTTTCCTTTTTTCAGTCGACGCCTGTGGTCCCCCACCCCCCACAAATTCGACGGGCATCATTTAATGTGCGGGTGACGTAGTCGTCACTCTTCGGGGGTACCGGACATAAAGAATAGATGTTATTGTTCATTTGCCGAGTCTTGTAACCGGGACGCCTAGTTGTTCTCCAGGTTCTCATGACAAGCCGTCGTCTCCGATACGCAGCTCGACCGTGTAGGCACACCAGCGGGCACCCAAGTCAGTGCCTGGAATTGTCAAAACAGGGCACCCGTTTCCTCCTCGTTCCTCATTTCTTGTTCTTACTACTCTTTGTCCCGCTTAAATGCTGCTCAAGTTTGTTGGGGGACTCTAAAGGGGTTGACAATCACGTATGCTGAAAGCAGAAAAATTCTAGCCACACGCCTTTACTCCTGAAACTACGAGATCGTTGAAAGAAAGTTTTTCCTTCGATCTTATCAGCATTAACGCATCGGAGGTGATGCCACACTTTTTAAGCCCTCCAACTCATCGAAATCTGCTGGTGGGTTTTTTTTCTTAACTGGGTCGCCATCGCTCTCTCTCTCTCTCGCTATTTTTTAACTCCTCATTCTCCAAAATCCCACTCACAAACGGAAGAAGTTTGTAGACGCACGCTAAACGAGAGTACATGGAAGTGAATCGACGAATGCGGCCTAAATTAACCCTTTTTAAAGAGCCAAATGTACGTGCATCTTAAATTTTCTCCGTAGGCCAATTGTGTCACGCGTTGTTCTAGATGGAAAGTCATGGTTGAACATTACTCTCGTTGTGTGTATGTGTATGGCTGCGTCAACCACAAGTGATTCTGGACGTTTGTTTTGGGCAAAAATTGCCGAGGAAATGAATGCGCGTATCCTGCCTCTATCACGCCAAGCACAATCTGTTGCCGTGTTTCTCCTCAATCCCCCATGGGATTACGTGTGGTCTCGATAGCATGCCTAGCCTTCCCCCCCTCTCCCTAGGCGAAGCCAGAGGGTGGATGTGAGTCATTCTGCGGCCACAGGCGGAGTGAGGTAAAACCTCAACGGTGGGCATCGTGACCTGGGGGTGCGTGAGCAGTTGACGAATTTCTGGACATCGAGCTTGTGGATTTTGGCCAGCGGCCAGACAACCGATTAGGCCAACTGGCGCTTTGACTCCATGCCTCTGTCAGTGGGATTTAGCGGCTTAGAGTGGATGAATCCTGTCAAATTTCAGTGCTCCATGTCAAAACCACCTCCTTT